TAGCTGTGAGAGGCACAATCTTCCCGCTCGAAATCCATGTTGGCCTGGGTTGTGAAGGTCATTGGTCTCCATGAAATATATATTAAGTGGTTTTAAGTCACGGCGCTTTACATATACAGTAGTACAAGGTATCACATGAGCACATGCAGGTAGTACAAGGTATCACATGAGCACATGCAGGTAGTACAAGGCATCACATGAGCACATGCAGGTAGTACAAGGTATCACATGAGCACATGCAGGTAGTACAAGGCATCACATGAGCACATGCAGGTAGTACAAGGCATCACATGAGCACATGCAGGTAGGACAAGGCATCACATGAGCACATGCAGGTAGTACAAGGTATCACATGAGCACATGCAGGTAGTACAAGGCATCACATGAGCACATGCAGGTAGTACAAGGCATCACATGAGCACATGCAGGTAGTACAAGGCATCACATGAGCACATGCAGGTAGTACAAGGCATCACATGAGCACATGCAGGTAGTACAAGGTATCACATGAGCACATGCAGGTAGTACAAGGCATCACATGAACACATGCAGGTAGGACAAGGCATCACATGAGCACATGTAGGTAAAAACATAAGAATATTAATATAAATGAAACTGCAGAAGGGTCATTGCCCCATAGAGGCAACAACAGCTCTCTATATCCACCCAATGAATTTCTACACATGCTTTATTTGTGCCTGAAGCAATTCAACGTCTGTTATGTTAGCAGGTAATTTGTTCCATAGAACTTCAACCCTATTTCCAGGCTGAGGGAGGGAGTGGGCAACCCTCAAATGGACCAGCTAGGTAACTCCAGAGGGAAGATGGGAGCCTACGCGATCATCAGGTCGACCTAAAGCAAATCACAACAGAAGCCTTAAACCACTCTACTGCCCTCCTTCCTAACCACCACTTTTTCCCAGCTTTCCACACTGACTTGTTCTTCTAGCCTCTCCTTGTTCCCCATGCACCTGCAAACCTAACTTCACTCCCTAAACGGTTATTAATTCTAATCCGGAACTCCATTTAGGACGATATATATACCACGTATGCCAGACCAATTCTGGAATATGCGGCGCCAGAGTGAAGTCCTTGTGAGACATGAATCGAAACTGGCGAAAGATGAGAGGTACGTCACAAGACTAGCCCCAGAGCTGAAAGGTACGAGTTTCAAGGACAACTTAAAGAAATTAACCCTACCTCGCCGAATGATAGGAGAATTAGGGAACGTATGATTATTATATAAAATTATCGAGGGAAACCATAGAGCAAACGAAAGAGAAGATTTTTTGGAAAGTGCGGTACCAGAACAACGGGGGACAGGGGGAGACAATTGGAAGTACCCAAATGAGTCACTGGAACATAAGATATATTTTTTCAGTGGCAGAGTAATGAATAAATGAAATACACAAAGTAGTAGAGTGACTGGTGGCTCACCATATAGTTTCTAATAATGATATGATAGTCCATTAGGTTCCGGACGCTGCACACTATTGAAATAGTGTTCAGTGGCGGGACTCAAGATGAAACTCAATCCTAGTAGGCACAGTTACTTGAGTGCGCGCGCGCGCGTGCGTGCACACAGGCAGATGTAGCTGGTAAGGTGCTCCAGTGGATAAGGGAGTACCTAAGCAATAGGAAGCAGAGAGTTACGGTGAGGGGTGAGACCTCCGATTGGCGGGAAGTCACCAGTGGAGTCCCACAGGGCTCTGTACTCGGTCCTATCTTGTTTCTGATATATGTAAATGATCTCCCGGAGGGTATAGATTCATTTCTCTCAATGTTTGCGGACGATGCCAAAATTATGAGAAGGATTAAGACAGAAGAGGACTGTTTGAGGCTTCAGGAAGACCTAGACAAACTGAAGGAATGGTCGAACAAATGGTTGTTAGAGTTTAACCCAACCAAATGTAATGTAATGAAGATAGGTGTAGGGAGCAGGAGGCCAGATACAAGGTATCATCTGGGAGAGGAAATTCTTCAGGAGTCAGAGAAAGAAAAAGACTTAGGGGTTGATATCACGCCAGACCTGTCTCCTGCAGCCCATATCAAGAGGATAACATCAGCAGCATATGCCAGGCTGGCCAACATACGAACGGCATTCAGAAACTTGTGTAAAAAATCATTCAGAACTTTGTATACCACATATGTCAGGCCAATCCTGGAGTATGCAGCCCCAGCATGGAGTCCATATCTAGTCAAGGATAAGACTAAACTGGAAAAGGTTCAAAGGTTTGCCACCAGACTAGTACCCGACCTGAGAGGTATGAGCTACGAGGAGAGACTACGGTAATTAAACCTCACTTCGCTGGAAGACAGAAGAGTTAGGGGGGGACATGATCACCACATTCAAGATTCTGAAGGGAATTGATAGGGTAGATAAAGACAGGCTATTTAACACAAGGGGCACATGCACTAGGGGACACAGGTGGAAACTGAGTGCCCAAATGAGCCACAGAGATATTAGAAAGAACTTTTTTAGTGTCAGAGTGGTTGACGAATGGAATGCATTAGGAAGTGATGTGGTGGAGGCTGACTCCATACACAGTTTCAAGTGTAGATATAATAGAGCCCAATAGGCTCAGGAATCTGTACACCTGTTAATTGACGGTTGAGAGGCGGGACCAAAGAGCCAGAGCTCAACCCCCGCAAGCACAACTAGCTGAGTACACACACACACACACACACACACACACACACACACACACACACACACACACACACACACACACACACACACACACACACACACACAACACTCAGGGGAGTACTACTAGGTGAGTACACACGGGGGACCTCGCGGCTAAGTGAACAGCACTCTGGGGGTAGTAGTCTTAAGGGCCCGGGTTCGATCCCCGGCAGAGGCAGAAACAAATGGGTAATGTTTCTTTCAACCTGATGGACTTGTTCCTTTGTTATATCATATTATTATGATTTCTGTGTGTACAGTTTCAAATGTAGATATGATTAAGCCCAGTAGGCTCGGTAACCTGTACACCAGTTGATTGATGGTTGAGAGGCGGGACCAAAGAGCCAGAGCTTAACCCCCGCAAGCACAAGTGAGTACACACATGTTAGCGCCTCCGCTCCTGCAGTAGGCTCGTGCCTGACACAGGATTAACTTTTTACCCCAGGCCATTTACACTTCAATTAGATCTAGGGTGTGATCCTTGTAACCCGACCTTTTACAAATTATTTCTGAATTTAGCCGTTTACCCGTATGGCCGAAAATTGACGTAATTTGAAAATGAAAACAAAAATTGAAAATAAATTTGGGATTTTTTTTTCAAAATAGTAAGTTTAGGGTCGTCTGGTAGGTTTGGAGGGCAAGAAATTCTCCTACAGTTTCAAAACGTCATGAAAAACGTTAATTGAAAGTTTCCTCTCCTAACCTTACCGAGTAAGCCGGTGGACTCAAACAGAAAACGGGACAGTACATCACTTTAGTTAGCCGATTTCATTTCAAATTACGTCAGTTTTCGGCTGTAGCGCGCATACGAGCGAAAAACGACGTTATTTTTAAGAGGACGGGTTGCCTAAATCCCCTGTGATGTAAAAATACAAGCACCCGTAATTAACTGAATTTGAAGCCCACATCAAAAGGATATCATCAGCGGCACATGCTAGATTGGCCAACATAGGAACTGCCTTTAGAAACTTGTGTAAGGAATCGTTCAGGACCTTATAGACCACTTATGTGAGACCAGTCCTGGAGTATGCAGTTTCAGCCTGAAGTCCATACCTAGTTAAACACAAGACAAAGTTAAAGAAGATTCAGAAGTATGCCACCAGATTTGTCCCGGAACTGAGAGGCATGAGCTACGAGGAAAGGCTGAAGTAGCTAAACCTCACGTCCCTGGAAGACAGAAGTGTAAGAGGAGACATGATAACCACCTACAAAATTCTCAGGGGAATTGACAGAGTACTCGCCTAATTTTTTTTTTTTTTTTTTTTGGACAAAGACAAACTCTTTAGCACGGGTGGGACACGAACAAGGGGACACAGGTGGAAATTTAGTACCCAAATGAGCCACAGAGACTTTAGAAAGAATTTTTATAGTATCAGAATAGTTAACACATGGAATGCATTAGGTACTGATGT